TTAATGTTTTTGATACTTGATTAATGAAAACATGTTTTTTATATTGCATATAGGGCACTTCATATTTATTAGCTCCGCTGTCGACTTTGTCGAGCGGAGCTTATCATATGAGTGATTGTCCGTCGTCGTCGTCCGTGTCAATGTTTTACTTTTTCGACTTCTTCTTGAAAACTACAAGCCTGAATGCTTTGATACTTGGTGTATATGTACCTTGGGTAGACCTCTCTGAGGTTTGTTCATTTCATGTTGATATCTTCAATTCTCTCATTTTTGGTAAAAAGTGATATTTTCGACTTTTTGTTAAAAACCGCAAGTGCAATTGCTTTGATATTACATATATAGGTACTACATGTGGACCTCTCTCAGATTTGTTCATTTTGTAATGATATCTTTAATTCTCTAATTTTGGTGAATATTTTTGTAATTTTTGGTAAAAAGTGATATTTTCGACTTCTTCTTAAAAACCAACAGTTCAATTGCTTTGATATTACATATATATATATTACATGTAGACCTTTCTCAGATTTGTTCATTTCGTGATGATATCTTCAATTCTCTAATTTTGGTGAATATTTTTGTCATTTTTGGTAAAAAGTGATATTTTCGACTTCTTGTTAAAAATCGCAAGTCCGATTGTTTTGATATTACATATATAGGTACTACATGTGGACCTCTCTCAGATTTGTTCATTTTGTGATGATATCTTCAATTCTCTAATTTTGGTGAATATTTTTGTTATTTTTGGTAAAAAGTGATATTTTCGACTTCTTGTTAAAAACCGCAAGTCCAATTGCTTTGATACTACATATATAGGTAATACATGTGGACCTTTCTCAGATTTGTTCATTTCGTGATGATATCTTCAATTCTCTAATTTTGGTGAATATTTTTGTCATTTTTGGTAAAAAGTGATATTTTCGACTTCTTGTTAAAAACTGTAAGTCTGATTGCTTTGATATTACATATATAGGTACTACATGTGTACCTCTCTCAGATTTTTTCATTTTGTGATGATATCTTCAATTCTCCAATTTTGGTGAATATTTTTGTAATTTTTGGTAAAAAGTGATATTTTCGACTTCTTCTTAAAAACCAACAGTTCAATTGCTTTGATATTACATATATATATATTACATGTAGACCTTTCTCAGATTTGTTCATTTCGTGATGATATCTTCAATTCTCTAATTTTGGTGAATATTTTTGTCATTTTTGGTAAAAAATGATATTTTCGACTTCTTGTTAAAAACTGTAAGTCGGATTGCTTTGATATTACATATATAGGTACTACATGTGGACTTCTCTCAGATTTGTTCATTTTGTGATGATATCTTCAATTCTCTAATTTTGGTGAATATTTTTGTAATTTTTGGTAAAAAGTGATATTTTCGACTTCTTGTTAAAAATTGTAAGTCCGATTGCTTTGATACTATACATATTGTTCATTTTCTAATGATGTCTTCAGTTCTTTAATTGAAATGTGCATTGCTAACAGCGGAGCTATCTCAGCCGATAGGCTGCTTGTTATAATTTTAAAATCTTTATTTAATAGATTGACGAACTTGAGAGGTTGGGGAACGAGCTTGATGAGTTCAAAAAGAAATTAGAAGATGCAGAAAAGGAAAAGTTAATGGCAAAATGTACATCAGCACCTGGAAAACCAGTACCAGCTACTCCATTGTCAGCTAAGCAGTCGTCCTCTGTTATGAGAACACCAAAGTCCACTCAAGCATTGCATTCAAATACTCCCACAACACTGCTCAAGGGTAATACAATTATTATCATCGTCTTTCTACTACAATGTCATACATGTTGCTGTTAATAAAACAAGCATGGGCAATGTTAACGCAACAGATCATGGGTCTGTGTTGATCAGCGAGTGAAATTTGTTATCACACATTCACCTGCAGGTTGTCAAAAATGTAAACATATGACGCCCTATAGCGATCATAATTAAACAGTCCCATTCAAATTTACATGTAAAATAAATTTATAGAAGCGGCCACATGTCTAACAGTCCAGCGGCGGCCAGTATTTACAGTCCAAAGTGGTGAAATAAACTGACTTACAGCCCAGAAGCAGCAAGGTCATCAACACAACAGTTGTACTAAAATATAATTCCTTCCGAGTTTTCAGAAATTGTCCTGAACTATTCTGACAAAGTTGCTAACCTCAACAAAAAAAACACGTTATTTTCTGCAGTTACGATTGAAATTAGTTATGATAATCTCAGTTTCACATTAAAATAACCAAATATTAGTAATAACGAATACTGACATTTTAGAACATTCACAGACTCAGTTTTTCGGGTACAAAATGCCATTCACAGACGGCAAATATGTCAACAAAACAAATTATTGGTATTTTAATTTTTTTCGAGAACAACGAAAGCTCAAGTATCATATACAACATTTGCACAATAGTCAGCTTTCTGCTTAACAAGTTCTAGTTCTTAAATTTAGTGGACACACATGGAAAACAAACAGACAGCAATATAAGCAATGACGTCATAGTGGTTGAATATGCATCAAAGTGAAGTCAATAGATAATTAGCATATATAACAATAGAGTTTCCTAACTGTACTTCTAGTAACCGTGGTTAATTTGAACGAATGAGCTGTGGAGTTTGACGTCACTCATTGTATATTCTTTATTTATCTAACTCGAAGAGAAACGTGTACTGTTCAAGCACTTTGTATGGGTACAATTCTGTTCTGATATGTCTATGGTAACATGTGAGTTTCTGGTCAAAAACATTAGTCTATAAATGAGAGAATGATTTATTGTGCTTTTTGGTTTACGGGTAAAATCAAATAAAGGACGATCACGTAACGCAGGCCGGTGACACCAGTTCTCACATAAGGAGGTACCAACCAACTTGTCACATTCCAAGCGAAAATTCAAACTCAGAAAAAATAATAGAACAAATTGTAAATATTACTAAATTACATGTCTTTCTATCTATCCATTTCTAAGTGAGACCGTGTGTGAAACCCTCCACACCTCTTGGTAGAACTCCACCTCATAAGACTCCACAAAGTATTTTGAAACCTGTTGGCAGCATCAACAAGAAAAGACGTGTGATGTTTGCATCCGATAATGGAGACTATGATGATGATTCAGATTCATCTACTTCACAGTTAATGGAATTGGATGTAAGTATGTCTACCCTATTTTATTACTATTGACGTATCCAGTGCAAAGAACAACAAAAAATTTACATACAGTACTTCCATGGTCACAAGCCCAGGGACCTCAATATATAAAATCTAGGAAAGTATGGGGTGGGCAAATACCCAAAGACCACCTTAGAAAAGATGAAGAATTTTTAATTCTTACTAATGACACATTTTGAGCCACATTAGGGGGAATATTCCATCTTTTTGGAGGGAAATATGTAATTGTGAAATGAGCTGAGTCAACATTGATTATTTTCAAAGCACTTTCACAGTGAAAAAAATGTTCTTTAAAAATACATACTTTTCATTACAATATTATTTACATATACCATTTGAAATTACGGTGTATATTGGTCTGTGGAGAAACAGTGGAAGACAAAATCATTATAATATCTTTGTTATAGAATGTTAATTTATGACCTGTACACTTCATAATACCTACAAGTACTAAACTTTGGTGTAATCATGTACATTTTGTAACAGAAAATATTTATGCGTACAGATGTTTATTTACTTATTTATTTGATTTTCTAGCATGATCAAATTGATATAGATCATATGGTGCCCAGTCAGACCACATCAGTTCATTTGAGTGGTTCTGGTAGAAAGTCTATGGCTATGGTACTACCTGCAGCTAGGGAAGATGCAATGAAACCTGTACCAAGAGGCAAACCAGTCAGTAGAACAAAAAAGGTAATTTTCATACTGATACTGTGAATTATTACATATATACTGCAGTACCTTGCTCAAAAATATTGGTAGTGACTGCAAAAATATGCAGATGAGATGAGATAAAATAGTCCCTTCTGTAAATTGAGTTTTCATGGCAGTTATTACACAACTTATCTCAGGGTATTTCAACACTTTTTTGTTTTGACCTCTGTGTGTCTGTGCATTCGTACGTGCGTGTG